CATTGGACTCTGATGTTGTATCTGTGCTGTTTGTGTTTCCATGTTTAAAGGAGTTTTTTTTTGTATAATAGAGTTACTCCCCGCTGGGGCTAACTCTGCTATGCCTTTTTTTTACCTACCCCCACTTATCCTCATGTAACACCCTTTTCATCTATCTATTAAGGTAGCGCGACTCATGTTGCGAATGACCACAGTCACCAATTCTTGTCATGTGTCTTACCCACGTATGTCTGATCTTTGAATTGTGTGTGCTGAAACTCAATTTCGTTTCTCCGTATGTCCTGTACATGTGGTAGAAATGACAATAAATGACTTTGACTTTGACTTTGACTTGACTTTGACTTTGATTATACAGTCAAACTCATTAGTAAGCCACCATAGCTGAATACTTTTTCTCAACTGCATGGCGCTAAAGAGTCGCATTATTTCATGATGATTTCAATGGATTTCACACACAGGGACTTTGAGACATCTGATTTGTTCAGAAGAAACTTTTCTAACCTGAACTTTACTGTTTCTGGGGTAAAGCCAGAGGTGGAAAGGGTACTCAAATTCTCTACGTAAGTAAAAGTACCAATACTTTTAAGTTTTACTCAAGTACAAATAAAGGTACCGGTATTTGCCCGAATTTTGACTCAAAAGTAAAAGTTACTCAGTTACTTTTTTGTTAGTGTAAGGATAGAGCTTAATAAGTAAAGCAGAATCAACACGCTCATGACATGCTTACACACACACGCGCGCGTGCGCATGCACGCACACACACACACATCTAACACAGCTCTGCCAACAGAAGATAGACAGCATTTCACAAACAACAGAGGACAATTTGATGGATGGATTATGATCCAATCATTGAGAATTGTGAAAAATCAGGCCTAGGTTCGCTCTTGGTTGGAGCAGATTTAAGCAGGAGTGGCTTTTGTGACGTAGTATCACAGCCTTTCTCAGAAAACAAATGTCTCTCTTGCTTTTTCAAGATGACTAATTTAGACAGAAAGCTGGTCATTCTAGGCTCTGAGCATTTTATAATATTATATTAGACACCCCAGGCTATCTTTATTCAACAGCAACACTGGAAACAAGTCGACTCCTTCTAATTATTTAAATCATCATATTGCTCAAAGTACAGGGCAAGGAGGAGGAGTAGCAACCATTTTTCATTCAGACCTAATAATCAATCTCTTACCAATTAATAGTTACAGTTCTTTTGAACATCTTATTCTTAGTTTTCCTAATCCAGATTGCAAAACTGTAAAACCACACTTGTTTGTAGTTTTGTATCGTCCACCAGGCCCTTACTTTGAGTTTTTGGATCAGATCTCTGATTTTTTATCTGATTTGGTGCTAAATACTGATAAGGTCATTGTAGTGGGGGATTTTAACATTCATGTGGACGTTGAAAATGATAGCCTCAATGTAGCCTTCAGAAATATCTTAGACTCAATTGGTTTTACCCAAAGAATACATAGCTCCACCCACTCCTGCCATCATACATTAGACCTTGTGCTGACGCATGGCATAGAGTGTGGGAAAATAACAATATTTCCACATAATCCAGTCCTCTCAGACCACTTTTTGATAAATTTTGAGTTTTATATAACCGAGTTCTCGAGACATGTAAGTAAATTTCACTATAGTCGGTCTCTATCTGACAACGCTGTTTCATCGTTTAAATCAACTGTTCCATCTTTACTGTCTTCAGCATCTCAGAGGAACGTAGCTGATGGCAATATTTTCATTTCTGGCCCTTCACAAATGATTTAGATAATTTAGTTCATATGGTTACTTCTTCTTTACGTGTGGCATTAGATGATGTTGCCCCTTTAAAAAAGAAGGTAAATAAGCACAGGAAGTTGGCTCCCTGGTTTAACTCTCATTTAAAAACTTTAAAACAAAACTCTAGAAAATTGGAGAGAACATGGCGCTTTACACACCAGGAGGAGTCCTACTTATCCTGGAAAAATAGTCTTGTGCTTTATAAAAATAAGCTTTGAGAAGCTAGAACTGAACATTTTTCATCGCTAATTGAGGAGAATAAGAATAATCCAAAATTTATTTTCAGTACAGTTGCCAAACTTACACAGAATCATAGCTCTGAATCATCTATTCCCTTAGCCCTCAGCAGCAATGACTTTATGGGATTTTTCATGAGTAAAATGAATTCTAATAGAAACAAAATCATTAATGTCCTCCCTAATGCAATTTCTTCTTCCTCAGTAAGTGAGGCAGCATCAGAGGTAACCGTAGAACCTCATCTGTGTTTGAACCGTTTTGATCCAGTTGAGTTTTCAGAGTTATCAAAAATACCAGCTTCATCTAAACCTTCAACTTGCATTTTAGATCCAATCCCAACCAAATTATTTAAAGATACATTTCCTTTGGTTACTGCCCCCATTCTAGATATAATCAATCTGTCCTTAGTAAATTGATACATACCACAGGATTTTAAGGTTGCTGTAATCAAATCTTTACTTAAGAAGCCTTCTCTGGATCCAGATGACCCAATGAATTATAGACCAATATATAACCTTCCATTTTTATCCAAAGTCCTGGAGAAAATAGTGGTTATCCAAGTATGTGAGCATTTAAACACTAATGATCTGTTTGAGAAATTTCAGTCTGGTTTTAGAGAGTATCACAGCACTGAAACTGCATTAGTGAGAGTTACAAATGATATTCTCATGGCCTCAGATAAGAATCTTGTGTCTGTTTTAGTCTTGTTAGATCTCAGAGCTGCTTTTGACAAAGTTGATAGCAATTTTCTTTTATAAAGGCTTGAACATGTTGTAGGGATCAAAGGAACAGTGCTAGGCTGGTTTAAACCCTACCTGTCTGATAGATATCATTTTGTAAACATACATGACAAATCTTCTTCATACTCCAGGGTTACTTGTGGAGTACCACAGGGTTCAGTGCTTGGACCAATTGTTTTTACTAAATATATATGCTTCCAATTGGTAAAATCATTAGACAGCATGGGATAAACTTCCACTGTTATGCTGACGATACTCAGTTATATTTATCCATTAACCCTGATGAACCTCATCGGTTAATTAGATTAGAGGCTTGTCTTGAAGACATAAACAATTGGATGACTCAAAACGTTTTGCTTTTAAATCAAGACAAGACTGAAGTTCTCATCTTTGGACCTGAAATTCAGAAAAGGAAATTGCTTAGTCAATCATCTGACCTTAATGGCATTAAATTAATCTCTGAGAACAAAGTAAGGAACCTTGGTGTTATCTTCGACCAGGACATGTCATTCAATCCCACGTTAAACAGGTTTGTAAGATTTTCTTTTTCCACCTTCGGAATATTGATAAGATTAGAAGCATCTTTCCAGGAGTGAGGCTGAAAAACTAGTTTATGCATTTATTACATCAAGACTGGGTTACTGTAATTAACTACTCTCAGGAAGTCCACAGAATGTAGTTAAAAGTCTTCAGCTTGTCCAAAATGCTGCAGTTAGAGTTCTGATGAGAATTAAACAGAGAGATCATATCTCTCCTGTCTTAGCTTCCCTACATTGGCTACCTGTTAAATTCAGAATAGATTTTAAGATCCTCCTTCTCACATATAAAGCTCTTAATAATCAAGCTCCATCATACATCAGTGACCTGATTTTTCCATATGTTCCTAACTGAGCACTTCACTCTCAGACTGCAGGTTTACTGGTGGTTCCCAGAACATCTGAAAATAGGATGGGAGGCAGATCTTTTTGCTATCAGGCTCCTCTCCTGTGGAACCAGCTCCCAGCTTTGGTCCGTGAGGCAGACACTTTGTCTACTTTTAAGACTAGGCTTAAAACATTTTTATTTGATAGGGCCTATGGTTAAAATCTGATGTTAGCCTAAATCTGGACAAGTGGGGGAGTAGAGGGAGGTGGAGTGTACAGTCGGTAAAGACGGCTCTCCCTTGCCCTGCCTCCATCTAAAAGGCTAGGTTATCCAGAGTTATCTCTGTAGTTATGCTGCTATAGGCTTAGACTGCTGGAGGACACACTGACAACTTTTCACACTCTACTACTTTCTTCTACAATTTGCTCTTTAACTGTATTATTTCCTGCTATTTCAGCTGTTAACTTTATTTTTTTCTCTAAGTGTTTTTCTCCCCAGAAGAAGCTACAATGATGTTCTGCTGAGCGGTGGTGGCCTCATGGAGGGAGCTATTGGCTTGAACACTGTTGCTAACCATTTCAACATCCTCCCTCTCTTGATAATAACATTTTATTTTCTTTGACATTGAATGTGCTGCTACTAATTTACCCATTTAATTATAGATACACTAGGATAAATACAATAAAGTTAATCTCTCACCAAATAAAATATTTACTATGAAATCACAATGTAACCATTGAAACATTACTTGGTATATATGTTGTGTGTGTGTGTGTGTGTGTGTGTGTGTGTGTGTGTGCCTGCTCTGTCTTCTCCATCCCCATTGACTCGTGGTGGATGGCTGCTTATACTGAGCCAGGATCCGCTGGAGGTTTCTTCTTGTTAAAAGGGAGTTTTACTCTCCACTGTGGCTATATGCTTGCTTAGTATGAGGATAGCTGTAAAGTTACTGACTTGATGCAATTTGCTGGGTTCCTTATATAGGAAACTTTTTCTGATTGGCTTAATGAACTGACTGAATGTTTATTATGTGAAGTGCCTTGAGATGACTCTTGTCGTGATTTGGCGCTATATAAATAAACTTCAGTTATTTTGAATTGAAATGTGGTTTAAATTTCTAGAATACCTTTAATAAAACTGTGTGAAAACAAGTATAATCTAAGTATATTTTCAGTAAACTTTCACACTTAAAGCCTTGACTTGATTACTTTGAGTTGTTGGTGTTTGTGCTTCACCAACTGGTTCCCAGGATCAGGATCTCAGGTCCAGGATGGATCAATCAGCTGGAGATGAGCAGCTGTGACTTCCACATGTGTGGAGCGGGATTTAGTTAACGAGGAAGGGGGAGGAGCCAATCTGGCTCTGTGTTTAAGAAGCTGAGGAGCAAAGTATGTGTGTTTGTGTGTGACAATGGAGTCCAGTCAGGTCATCGTGTTCAGCTTTGTTCTTGTGTTGGTTGGGCTGAGTGACTCTCGCCTCCCCAGTATGAGACCAGCAGCCCACTGGGCGGCCGTGATGCACTCTCCTGGTGAAGTGCAAGTCCGGTCAGCAGCAGGAGGACCTGAGAGGAAACACTTCAGTGTGTTTATGAAGCCGGCCAACAGGTTCCTCTCAAAGCAGGTCCAGTCCAAAGGAGATGAGTTCAAGTGGACGTTCCCAGAGGACTCCGTGTCTCCAGTGACCCCAGCGATCGAGCCTCTTGTCCCGTTCAACGTGCTTCAGCCGGCCGTGTCCAGTCGGGTGGCTGTGAGGTGTGGGGAGAGCAGGATCCAGGTGGAGGTGAGTCAGGACCTGCTGGGCCTGGGCAGGCTGATCCATCCAGATGACATCACACTTGGAGGCTGCCCACCAACTGAGATGGACCCCTCTTCTAATGTTCTGATCTTTGAGTCTGAGCTGCATGACTGTGGCAGCACACTGGAGGTATAAAGTTCTCCTCAGACTGATTCACCTGGTTGTATCTGGTTGTCTGAATCACTAGTTGTTGTTGTGTTTTTTTTTTTTTTTTTTTTTGCAGGTATACGAGTCTGGTTTTGTTTATGCCTATAAACTGGTGTATGAGCCCAGGATGCTGGACTCCAGTCCCATCACGAGGAGTCAGAGAACCGTCATCAGAGTGGAGTGTCACTACGCCAACTAACCCCTAGCAGCTCAAAGCAGGAGTCAGCTGATTACTGGAAATAAATATTTTGCATGTTTGGTGTCTTAAATCTGGATCTTGTTGTGACTTGGCTTTAGAGTTGAGCTGTGACTCATATTTTGCAGTTTGAGAAAAGCAGGCCTTTAACTCAAACTGTTAGAGCTCTTAATGTTGGCGCATGTCGTCCTGAATTATACCGCACCAGTTTAACAAGCACATATTGTCTTGTACTAGTGGATGTTCTCCTGAACCAAAATAGTTGCTTACTGGTACTGGCAAAAATAATTGTCTCTAGCAACAGGTAGAGTAGCACATCCAAGCTGAATGTGGGCTTTGCTCTGCTCTAGAAGTTGGATCTAAACTTGTGTCTGTTTGCTACAGTATTGTTTTAAACAGATTTAAGGTTGACCTGGTCTTGAATTTTTCTGCCTATGGAAATTGTTATGGATGGCAGGCACACGTAGCCGGGGATCAGCCAAAACGTAGATATTTTTCTACGTTTTGGCCTGTCATCCACACGAAAACGGATCTTTTTAAAAACTCCGGCCAAAGTGAAGATCTGCGTTTTCTCCGTTTTGGGTGTCTGCGTGTGAACCGACAAAACTAGAGTTTTAAGGTCCGCAACGTCACTTTCGGCGACAAAAAAATGCTGACATCACGAGTGCGACCTGTGTTTACACTAGCCGGCATCATGGAAGCCCTCAGAGCTGCGCTCGCTTTAATTGTCCAAGTGCTTTTTGCTTGTTTTTGCAAGTGGGATTACTGCTCCTTGCGGAAGACCATAGAGGAAGGACGAGGTTAAGAACGGGGGAAGTACTGCCGCCTACAGGTCTGGCATGTCCTTAACAACGTATTTATCCGGGTATGTGTGGACAGAGTTGTTTTAAAACGAGGTGGTGTGGATGCAAGTTTTTGGAGGGGCGGATGTTCGTTTAAAAAAAAAACCCCGGCTACGTGTTTGTGCCTTTAAAACCTCCCTGGGCAGCTGGTGCTACAAAGAAGTTCCTCACCAGTGATTGAAGTGAGGAACACCTGGTGCAAGTAAGCTGATTTCTGATGGAATGACTCAATCTATAGACATTTAATACATTTAAGGTCTAACTTCTCACCTAAAACCTCTAAAAATGCCAGATTTACAGTAAATGTCTTTCTGCAATTGCCTTCAGCGTAGCTCCACACGTTATGGAGATAATATAAAAATCAGATAAGATGATCTGGAACCAAGAGATGAAACACACCTGTCAAAGGTGGTGGAGTTGGTAGAATTGCTTCTGTGCAATGAGAAAGTTCAAATCCAGGCTACAGCTTTTATGTGTGATGTTGTCCCATCTACAGACATATCCCACATATGTTTCCTGTTGTCCCATAGACTAAAAATAAGCATGTTGAGGTCAGCTGGAGTCTAAATTGTCCCCAGGTTTGAGTGTGTAGCTGTTTGTCCCTGTGATGGACTGGAGACTTGTCCATGGTGTCCACTGCCTCCTGTCCAATCACTGCTGGAGTAACACCAGCTTCCTGTGACCCTACTGAGGGATGAATGAATAGATGATGCAGGTTGTAGAACCACATTTTTTTAACTATGACTACTACTAAAAATGCTGTTTGACTTTGTGTCCCGCATTGTTGGGGATGGGTTTGAGGAGCGTTACTTCAGACATCTGGTTTGTTCAGAAGAAACGTACGTGCACAAGCCTGCACAGTTGCAGCGACACAGATGAATAAAAGAAAATAAAAAAACAGACCGGAAAGGAGTAACTTAAATCAAAGCAAAACACACACACACACACACACACACACACACACACACACACACACACTCATACAGCTAAAGGAAAGGAAAAATAGTAAAATAACAAAAATTATAGGTACCAGAGTAGGGGTTGTGTTAGACTTGGTATCAATTTAAATAAAGGCAAAAAATGAGGAAAAAGCTGTCACCAAGGGTGAAATAACAATTGTATGTCATTTAGTCCATAGAATCCGAGAAGTCTATCTTTTTAAGAACCCTAAGCAGGGGATTCCAAAGCTCTAAGAATTTGCCAAAGGAATCTCTAAAGGCAAGATGAATTTTCTCCAATTTAAGAAAATATAGAATTTCTCGGAGCCATTGGATATATGATGGAGGGTGAGGAGGTTTCCATCACATCTCAATCACTCGCCGGGCAAGGAGAGTCATAAAGGCCAATGATGTTTTCTGCAGGGAGGACAAAACAGGTAATGAAGGTGCCACACCAAACCGAGCAGTCAGGGGATTAAGCCCAACATTCCCACCCAGAACCTCTGATAGAATGGCAAAAACCTTGGACCAATAATTATGAAGCTGAGGGCAAAGCCAAATGGTGTGAATCAGATTTGCTGTGGGGTGCTGGCATCTATCACAAGCAGGTGAGACATTTGTGAAACTTTTTGCCTAACGAGCTTTAGTATAGTATATGCAATGAACAAGTTTGAATTGTATTAGACTATGTCTGGCGCGCACGCACACACACACACACACACACACACACACACACACACCTAACACAGCTCTGCCAACAGAAGACAGACAGCATTTCACAAATAACAGAGGACAATTTGATGGATGGATTATGATCCAATCATTGAGAATGGGATGTTCCCATTGATTGGATGAGGGTTTAACAAGGATTTTACATTTCAAAAGTGACAAAAATAATTCTTTTTTTTGGCAAAACATTTAATTCATTAGTTGCCATCAGTGTGTGAAGAGCATTTCAAGTAATATGGCAAAAACTTCTCCAGAAGAACATCTCCCACCCCACCTTTAACCTACTCATCTATGAACCAAATGGATAACTAACGATCACGTCTTGTGAATTTCCCCGAATGACTTAAAGAAAACCAAACTGTCAGGTATCTCAGTGTTTTCATGACCAAACTTTAACACGAGACTCTGCTTTAACCTTTCAAATTATATAAAGTCAAATGGACTTCGACCGTTTCACATGAATCGTATAGCAGCTGCTAACGTTGGCCCTGCCCTCTACATTACATTTCCTTTATTCATGCCCATCCTAGTTATTCTCACTGAACTTCATGCTTATTTAGAGCAGCTGATTTTTAAAGTCAGCAGAGTTCATCCTCGCTCACTTTTCACCAGAGCTGGGAGATGCTCACAGGAAGCTGTGGAAGGACAGTTTTTGTGATGTGTGGAAGTGGGTTTACTCACTTATTTACCCGTTCATGCTGACATCAGTTTGTCCCTCCAATCCTCCAAATGGATTCAGTAAGCATCCCTATCCCCCGTGACATCCATTCTGTCGGATTACGCCTTGGGCGCGCAGGTGTTGCTGGAACTCACCGCGTCTCCTCACCACGCAGCATGAGTATCTTCAAACAGTCAAGGTTGGTGTCCAAACATGGCCTTTAAATGTTTATTTAAAGGTTTACTATGGAACACGACCATTCTGGTGAACTCTGGTGTTCAGAGGTGGTATTGCAACAACAGGACTAACTTTCAAGCTGCTAGGATGTTGGTTCACAGCTGACACGTTCCAGCACCATGTTCAGAGACAACTCGTACATGATAAGGACACATTTCTACTAACAAGTTTATTGTATATCAGTATTTATCGTTGGGAACATCTTCTGGGCTCAGACTCAGCTGCTTGCCTTGTCAAGTCCACCATTTTACACAGTCCCAGGCCTTGCCCTGCTGAGCAGACTTTTCAGCGCAATGCTGCCCTCTAGTGGCTAGTAGAGGAAAACATAAACACAGTATTGTGCCTGACAGAATAAAAATTTGATTATCTATCTTTTTAAATATAGCTTTAAAAGGAGGAACTGTACATCCATTCTATACACCTCTGAACACCCCATGGAGGTATTTAAAAATATACATATAGCTTTTTATTAAAACGTTCCATATTCAAATTTTAATGCATTTATGGCCTCCCGTCTAGATGCCCGTAACACACTTTTCATGTTGTTTTTAGGGCTGGGACTTGATCATAAATTTTAATCTAATTAATTACAGGCTTTCTAATTAATTAAACTAAATTAATCACATTTTAATCGTTCAGGAAAATGTGCTCTCAAAGTAAAACTTTTAATTAAAATTATGAGACAGAGAATCAAACATTAGACATGGTCATTACTGTAAACTAAAGCTTTTAATATAAAATGCATTGTAATTATTCAAATGTCACTGTGTGATATGAAACAAAACCCAAATCAACTAAAATTTATAATTACAAATAGAAAACACCTGCAAATGGTTCCTGAGCCTTTAAATAGTCTCTCTGTCTAGTTGAATGACTGAAATAAATTTGACTTTGCACCTGATTCTAATTTTTCCATTTTCACTTGTTTGTTTAATTGGGAGTTTTTATTAGCATTTCTACTCATAATGTAGTAAAAACACATACATAATAATCCTTCAAAATGACAGTAGAACTGGCACAAATATGATCTAGGACTTAAATATACTAACTTTAACACCAGAGCAGGCGTGACATATTCTGAGAATGATCAGGAACACTAACTGGTTCCAGTTGGATGACTGGAGGATGATGGGAAGATAAAAGATCATGGCGAGGAAATAATGATCTGACGAACAGGAGAGCGGACCTTCCTTACATGGGAAGTCCTGATGTCACGTTAAGAAGGGGATGCTGCAGACCCGCAGATTCACGCCTGCAGCAGCGAATCTGGTGTGATCTCCAGCCTGATCACAACTTCCTCGTTCCTCGCTGCCCCTGATACACTTAAGCATCCGCCCCTTAGCTGATGACAGCTTCAACATACCTCGCTGCTTAATGATAGTAATACATGTGATGTTTAGACAGTGACTCGTCTCAGAAACATAATACCCCAACAGAATTGTTTAGAAAATCATCAGAAAAGTTTCAGAGTGTTTCTGTTTTAACTTAAACTTCTGTTTTCAACTTTAACTTTCACGTTGCTTGTGATTGTTTACAGAGTAGTGAGAACACGGAGCGTACTCCCAGCGGCAGCCAGGTGCCTCTCGTTTGTCTGACTACTTTCATAAACTACTGTTAGGGCAAAGAATTATTCTGTCTGGTGCTTTCAGCGCTGCACAGATGTTACGTA